ACGAAGACGATGACGACGGCAGGGCCAGACGGCGCCGATGCTGATCACGACGATGACGATGATGGTGTCCACGCGTCGGTGATGACGGCTGCGAAAAAAAGATTTCGACGTGCGCGCGCGGCCGACGGGCGCGAGTGGCCTACATGGTGTTCTTCGATAAGGATCGTGCCCCCCCCCCAGCACTCGAGCCAGGGCCTTCGAATGAATTCGTCATGCGCGCGTGAGACGAACATTTGATCGAACTTGATGACAAGTTTGGAAGCAATGGCTTTCTTAAGTATTGGACAGAGCGCGCGCAGACCTTGTTTTGGAAAGTCAACTTGCAAAGTCATGTGCTGTTATATTTGTTCGGGGCACTGGATGCTCAGATCCTCGCGAAGCCTGGTTTCTTTGAAGGATTTCGGCATCCGCGCGCGGCGAAGCGCGCATCTGCACTTCGCCCCATGTTTCACATAATCATATAACAATTGCACATCCCCAGAGGTATCGTTGAGTCCGTTTTCGGAACGTGTTGGGACCTTTTTCTGCTTAGGAAAGAGAATCTAAGTTGTGCTAAGTACGTGGTAAGATTTCTGTTGCGAGCCATCAAAGAGTGCACCGAACGCGTTTTTTCTTCCTCGTGTAATCTACGTGGTCCAGTCCAACGGCGGCGACGAGGCGGCGACGGGGCGGCGACGGCGGGAACACGGCCCAGACGACGGGCGGCGACGAGGCGGCGACGGGGCACGACTGGAACATAGCCGCCAGACCGCCCACACGGCCCAGACGACGGGAGGCGACGAGGCGGAGACAGGGCGGCGACTGCCAGAACATAGCCGCCAGACCGCCCACACGGCCCAGTTTAGTATAGGAAAAAACCCTAAGTGCAAGCACTTTTTGGTGAATCGGTGATGTTGGTCTTCTCGCCGAGGCCACCTTGGGGGCAAGGGGGAAACCGAAGAGCGAAGATGGAAGAGGAAACGCTCTAAACCACTCGCGCCCTAAAAGGTTAGCGGGATTTACTTGGGAACCGCGCTCTTGCCTGAGACGTCCTTGCCATCCCTTCTTGCAAACCCTCCGGCTAATCCCTCTCGTCCTCCATGGTATCATTCCCTCCCTCCCCCTTCCCTCCTCCTTCCTTTCCCCCACTCCCTTCCTCCTCGCTCTCCCCTTGTCCTCCTGGTTTCAGGGTTGCGCCACTTACACGTGGCAGGAAAGGAAGATACATGCCCAGAAGAGGGCACGACGATCAAAGCATGTTCAGTGACACGCCAGCAGAGCAGAGCGAGTTGTCTTGAACTGATTCATGTTGTTGTCCCCTCCCCTCCATTCCCTCGTTCCCTCCTCCTCATCCTCATCCTCCTCCTCCACCTCGTCCTCCTCCTTCTCCTCCTCCTCGTCCTCGTCCTCCTCCTCCTCCTCCTCCTCCTCCTCCTCATCCTGCTCCTGCTCCTCCTCCTCGTCCTCGTCCTCCTCCTCCTCCGCCTCCTCCTCCTCCTGCTCCTCCTGCTCCTCCTGCTCCTCCTCCTCCTCCTCGTCCTCCTCCTCCTCCTCCTCCCTCCTCCTGCCTCCTCCTCCTCCTCCTCCTCCTCTTCTCTCCTCCTGCTCCTCTCTTCTCCTCCTCTTCTCCTCCTCTTTTCCTCCTCCTCCTGCTCCTCCTCCTCCTCCTCCTCCTCCTCCTCCTCCTCCTCCTCCTCCTCCTCCTCCTCTTCTCTCCTCCTCCTCTCTCCTCCTCTTCTCTCCTCCCTCCCTTTTTTTCCTCCCCCCCCTCCTGAACGTTGCGCTTGAAACCCCTCCAAATTATCGAAGACGCCTACGGCGAATCACCGTAGCCCCCTGCCTTTTTGGAAGCGCTTGTGTGGCCGAACGTTGAGGCCAGACCTGCCAAGCTATCGGACCATGTGTTCCCCGAATCGGTGTGGAAAGCCTTCGGGGAACACGTGGGCATCTTGACGGTCATCTTTGCTGACTGGAGGCCGTTTTGACCCTTCCGGGCCTTCTTGGAGGACGTCTTGGAGGGCTCTTGGGCCGTCTTGGAGGCCATCGTGAGCGTCTGGGAAGCTTCTTGGGCCGTCTTGGGGGCCTCTTGGGGCCGTCTTGGGCCTCTTGGGCCTCTTGGGGGATCTTTGGGGGCACTTGGGCCGTCTCGGGCAGTCGGAAGGCTAAAAAGAAGCAAATGTCAAAATCGTTCAAAAACATATGGGAAATCAGTGTTTGTGGCCTTTTCGGGCCTTCCTGAAGGCCCTCTTGGAGGCCTCTTAGGCAGTCTTGGGCTATCTTCGTGCCATCTTCGGCCGTCTTGGTGGGCCCCTGGCCCGTCCGACGCAGTCGGAAGCCGATTGGGGGGCCTCTCTGAGCCGATTTGGGGCCATCTTGGAATGCTCCAGGGCAGCCTCGGAGGCCATCTTGGGCGTCTTAAAAGCTTCTTGAGCCGTCTTGGGGGCCTCTTGGGGCCGTCTTGGGGGCTTCTTGGGCCGTTCTGTGGCCATCTCGGAGGCATCTTGGGCGATCTTTGGGGGCTCGTGGGCCGTATTGGGCCTTCGGAAGGCCGAAAAAAACATATGATAAATCAGTGTTTTTGGCTTTTTCCGGGCCTTCCTGGAGGCCCTCTTGGAGGCCTCTTGGGCCGTCTTGGGCCAGCTTCGCCAACTTCGGCCATCGTGGTGGGCTCCTGGCCCGTCTGACGCCGTCGGAAGCCGTTTGGGGAGCCTTTCTGGGCCGGCGTGGGGCCCTCTTGGGGTGTTCCAGGGCAGTCTTAGAGGCCATCCTGGTCGTCTTGGAGGCCTCTTGGGTCGTCTTTGTGCCCTCTTGGGGCCGTCTTGGGGGCTCTTGGCCAGTCCTGAGGCCATCTTGGAGGCCTCTTGGGCACTGTGGGGGCGATCTTGGGGGCCTCTTGGGCCGTCTTGGGTCGTCGGAAAGCCGAGAAGAAGCGAATGCCAAAATCCTCCCAAAACCTACAGAAAGTCAATGATTTGGGCCTCTTCGGGCCCTCCCGGAGGACCTCTTGGAGGCCTCTTGGGCCGTCTTGGAGGCCTCTGGGGGGCCTCTTGGGCCGTCTTGGGCAGTCTTGGACTCTCTTGGGCCGTCTTGGAGGCCGTCTTGGACCATCTTGGGCGGACTTGGAGGCCATCGGAGGCCATCTTGGAGGCCATTTTGGGCCAACTTGGCCATCTTGGAGGCCATCTTGAGCCGTCTTGGAGGATTTTTTCCTGGATTGAGCTCCTGGGCAATCCTCCCGGCACCCCGGCGGGACGGGCCGACGCCCCAGGGGGAGTTCTTTTGAAAAAGAACCCAATCCAAAACCGAAATCGTCTAGCACGCCAGTCACCCCTGTCGCAAGCCAACCTGGGGCGGCGGATCTTGTGGCTTGTGGCCCATCCCGCCACCCTGCCCGGGTTATGGGGCGAAGGCCTCTTGAGTGCATATTGAGGTCTCTTGGGTGTTTCTTGGGGGCCTCTTGGAGGGCTCTTGGAAGCCTCCTGAGGGCTCCTTGGAAGCGTCTCGGGGGCCTCCTGGGGGACTCCTGGAGGCCTCTTGGGGCGTCTCGGGGGCTTCTGGGGGGATCTCAGGGCCACCTTGGAGTGGAGGACTCGAAATATAAGTTCGCGTTTCCCCTCTTGGGGCAGTCTGAGGGGCCTCCTAGGCTCGTCTTAGGGGCCTCCCGGGTCGTCGTGGAGACCTCTTGGGCCGTTTGGGCCGGGCCGTCTTCGGGACTCTCTTACACTGTCATGGAAACGCGTCGAAATGTTTTGTGCCCGTCTTGGGCTCTTTGGCCTGCTAGCAAGTTAAAGCTAGAGGGAAGCCCCAGAAGGCATACGGGAAGCCCCAGAAGGCACGAGATGCACCCTAGGAAATCCAGCAATCTGGGGCCCGTGCCCTTAATATTGCATGTGTCATGCCTGAGGATTCAATATATTGAAAGGACCTGAGGGCAGTCCGACTTGTGCATCGAGGATTGGTGGTGGTTTATCCTGAAGCTCAGAAATCAAACATCCCAAATGGTATATAGAGAAAGGGTCTTTTTCAAAAGGCAGTTCTCGTTGGGGCGCCGCGCGCATCCATCGTTGCAGCTTGAAACAGCTTCCAGGGTTGAGGGCTGGCCACTGTCAAAATGCGGCTTCCGCCTACACATTCGTCTTCGAAATTCGCGACAGCTTGAAGGATGGACAATGGCTCGTTTTCAAAATGGGGCTTTCGCATTAGCGATTAGCGCCGCGCATATTAACTTTAACAGGTTGCAGCAGCTTCAAGGATGGAGAGCGGGCCGTGTTCAAAACGGGGCTTTCGCACTAGCGCGGCGCACCCTCATCACAAAAGCTCGCAATAGCGTCAAGAATGGACGGCGGGCCGTTTCCAAACTCTCGCTTTCACTCCGCGCACATTCGTTTCAAAAATTCGCAACATCTTGAAGGATGGAGGCCGGTTCGTTTTCAAACTGGTGCTCTCGCCGTAGCGACGCGCACAATCGCGTAAATAGTTTGCAACCGGAACAAGGCTGGAAATAGGTTCTTTGTCAAAGTGATTGGTTCGCTAGATCTGTCTTCGAACATCACAATGGTAAACGCGATCATTATGCAGTTGCCGCCCGGGTGGAGGGCGGCTCCTTTTCAAAGCTGGGTTCTTGCTTCAGACTTCCTCCAAAAGAGTGCCCATGCGTGCAATGCTGTGCACCAGTTGCACGGCTCGGGGGCGGTTCTTAAGGTATGAGAGACATTTTTCCGCATACCGTATCACTTGCTAGAATAATGCTAGGCAAGCAAGCCAGTTTTTTCCAAAACGGCGCTCCCGCCCGAATGGCGAACCAATCGGGTGCTCGTCTTTCAGAGGGGCGCTTCCTGTAGTGAAGAGGAAGACCTGCAGGGTCGTGCGAGGAGGGGGCTGGGCTCGGGAGGGTGTGCTGCGGCATCGCTGATGCACTCTGGGTTCACTCTGGTCCGCCTCCCTCCTCATCGTCATCGTCATCGTCATCATCCTCCACTGTCCTCCGCCCCCTCCTCCGGCCCCTACCTCCGACGCTCCAGCACATCCTGCACCGCGACCTTAAGTGTGGGAACATCTTCCTGACGAGCAACGGCAGCGTCAAGGTGGGGGACTTCGGGATCTCGAAGGCCGCGCCATCGAGCGGCGCGCGCGTCGGCCCGCCCATTCCGCAGAGAATCGACCTCCGAAGATTCTTGACGCTTCGCGTATCCCCACCAGTTGCAGTTCAATTCACACTTGGTGGCTTGCTCTCAGGTTGTCGCACGTTTGCAGCCTCTGGCAGCCCCGGCAGCCCGCAGCCCCTCCCCCGGCTTCTTGCTGTTCCAGCCTTGAGGCTTCGGCGGTAGGTCCTGCTCTGCTCTGCGCTGGTAATTGGGCCCTCGCGCGGCCCGCTCGGACCCTACTCGCCGTCGGCGCGCTCGCCTTCGGCTACTAACGGGAAAAAAGTATCCCCACCAGTGGTAGGTTTAGCTGTTGCCTGCGCGCGCTAGGCAATTAGTTCTGCTCGTAGCCCGAGCCGACCTGTGACGCCGCCGGCGCCTTCGCCTGCGGTTGCGACTAAAAATCCCCACCTGTCTTTTCGCCCCTCCTTCTACCTGTGCGCGAATTTAGGCCATTGCCCGTGTGCGTCGCTCCTGGACGCCGCCCGACCTCTTTCGTCGCGGTCGCGATCAAAAAGTATCCCCACCAGCCCATCCAGAAACGATACCCATGAGAGTTGACAGGGGGAGAGAGGAAGAGACACGCATAGTCAAACAGGGAGGGAGGCTTGGGAGGCTCCGTGGCCATCTCGAGCCGTCTTGGAGCGGTCTTGGGGCCGCTTGGAGCATCTTGGGAGCCATCTTGAGCCAGCTTGGGCGATCTGAGCCACCTTGGAGGTCATCTTGGGCTCTCTGAGGCCGCTCGGGGGCCTCTTGGGTGCCTCTTGGAGCCCTCTTGGGGCATCTTGGGGTGCTCTTGGAGCCCTCTTGGGAGCCTCCTGGGAGCCCTGGAGGGCCTCTTGGGGCCATCTTGGAGGTGGTCGGTCAAAAGAGGTGGGGGGATTAGATTTGCGTCCCCCCCTCGGGTGCCACGATCCTCGTGAGGGGTGGCAAAACGTGGCCCTCCCAGGGGCCGAAAAATGAGGCTCCGACACATCGCGACCCCTCCCAAATAACCTGAGGGGGGGAGGGGGGGTCCCCTCCCCGAAGGGAAGAACGGTTGTGAAAAAGGAAAGGGACCCTCCTTAGACCACCTGTCGCCCAAAGGGCTGGTGGGATTGAAGTCGCCGACCTCCGTTCTGGATGTCGTCTCCTTGTGTTCTGGAGCCGCTTCTCCGTTACAGAGCTCACGATCCGACCTCCAGAGTCGCCAACAATAACTGTTTGCCCCATGATTCGGGGCGAGGTTTGCCTCTTGGGACTCTCTCCTGGGTCCTCTTGGAGCTCTCTCGGGGCGCGTCGGAGGCTTATCGGGTTGCCTTGAGGCAGCAGTCTGTGCTTTTGGAACATCCTGGCGAGCTGGAGCGCAGATGCAGTCAGCTTCCTCAGCGCCTTGGGCATCTTGGAGGCCACGGAGTGCAGCTTTGGAGGCTCCCCGAGGCCCCAGGGGTGCGCCCTCCCGGGCTCCCCCCCAGGGCCCGCCCCAAGCTCCCACCGGGGCCCTCCCCGGAGGAGGAAGAGGAGGAGGAGGAGGAGGAGGAGGCGGAGGCGGAGGCGGAGGCGGAGGCGGAGGCGGAGGCGGCGGAGGAGGAGGAGGAGGAGGAGGAGGAGGAGGAGGAGGAGGCGGAGGCGGAGGCGGAGGCGGAGGCGGAGGCGGAGGCGGCGGAGGAGGAGGAGGAAGAGGAGGAGGGGGAGGAGGAGGAGGCCCTGGGGGAGGGGAGGGGGACAGCCAATCGTCTCACACACCGTTGCACCCCCTGCGAGCTGGGGTCGGCGGATACGCACACAGCTGGCATGAATGCCGAACGATGTTCCAGTCGCCTCGGCATCCGTCCCGTCGCGCCCCACCCCCAGCCAGCCGTAGGTCCTGGACCACACGGGTGCCGTCGCCGTGACGATGATCGGCACTCCACTTTACCTTGCGCCAGAGGCGCACGTGTGTCGCTTACGTATTTCAGCAGTACGCCGCTCTGCATCATCCATGCTTACCATTTTGCTCTATTCATATGTTTTATTTGTGTTCGCTCTCTCTCTCTCTCTCTCTTTACGTTTTCTTGTTTGTCTCTCTTTCTCTCTATATTCGTTGATCTGTCGCAACACTAGGTATCTGGGCGCTCATAGTTATGCCTCGCCTGCCGTGTCTCGCCGCCCACATTGATGCGCATTTATATTTACATGCATCTCCTCAGCCGCTTCTCGCATTCTCATGCACTGTTGTCTGACATGTTCTTGCTTCCAGTGTCTCGTATCCTTGCAGGTCACGCTGCACTGATTCCGCCTGCAGTTTCTGTGTGCACTCGTCGCTTGACTCTCCTGCTGAGTTGTCGCTCGGCATCCCGACGCCACGTTGGGATGCATCATAGGTTGGGCCTGGCATGGTGGGGGAGTTGATTGGATAAGACATGAAGGGAAGCGCCCCTGTGGCGTGGACCATGACATGTATCTCTCTTCAAGAACACTGTTAGACACGCCTGAGCGCCATAGCCAAGTCTCTTGCAATTCACCGAGCGCGCTCCACTACTCGCAAAGTGCCTACCCGCAAACGTCCGAAGCACACGCGTGTCTGCATCGATGTATGTGTACCGCAAATCCCCCCATGGCGGATCCAGGCCAGTTGCGAGCAGTCATTCTGCGAGTCGTGGACCGCGCTTCTCTAGCAGCATCTGGCCGTGGCAAAGAAGGTAACCGCTCTGCGCGTCGCGGCCTGGGCAGGAGACACGCCCCCCCCCTGCGCGGCGCGCGCGCGCGAGGGCGCGCGCAGGGGACCGCACCCCGCCTCCTTCGCGCGGCACGCGGCTAGCAGTTGGGTGAGCACAGCGCGCCTCGCCGCACCCGACGGGGCCCCGGCGCCCTCCCTCCTGGGTGGGGGGGTTCCCTGGGCAGGGCTCGCTCCGATGCCTCCGCTTCGATTCGGTTCGATTTCGGAGGCCTCCGCTTCCGATTCGATTCGGCTTCGGATTCCGATGTGGATTCCGGTTTCTAAACGGAGGCATTACTACTCTGCCGATTTCCGCCGATTCGACTTCTCCCGACTCGGCTGCCGATTTCCGCCGATCCGATTCATTTCGATTGCCGATCCTATTAATCGATTCGATTTTGGGTTCCCCTGCCTGGGGGGGAATCCGACATGACCGAGAACACCGACTGCCTATGCCTCGACGGCGCTGGGATGCCGGAAGCTGGTGTTGACGAGACTGGCAACGACAAGCTCTTCGCACTGTAACGGCCAGAACATCCTCCAGCTCACGACGTTGCTGGAACAATAGAAACGCCAGTCGGACGGCAACGGACGTGTGATTTCCCCGCCGTCCCGCAGTTCGACTGATGACGCTCACCTTTTCACTTTTCATCCCTTCGGCCCGGCGAGGGCCCAAGGCTCGAAGGGTACGTCCGGCCGCGGCCGCGATGGACTCCGCCACCTGCGCCAGCGCAGCACCGAAGCGCGGCTCATTTCGATTCCTCCGATTCGATTTGATTCGATTTCGATGGCCTCCGATTCCGATCCGATTCGACTTCGGATTCAGATGTGGATTCCGATTCCTCAATGGAGGCCTGCTAGCCTGCCGATGTCTGCCGATTCGACTTCTCCCGACGTGGCTGCCGTTTTCCGCCGACCCGATTCATTTCGATCGCCGATCCGACTCGTCCATTCGATCTTGTGCTCTCCTGGGGGAAGCGGGAGGGTCCCCCCCCCCTCCTCCCCGCGGAGGAAGGCAGAGCGGGAGGCGGGAGACGACCCGAGGCGAGGGGCCGGCAGAGGGCAGACACGCGGGAGAGAGCGAGTCGAGATAGTCCCCGCATCCGCCTCTTCGTCCTCTTTGTGCTGTGTGCGGAAGTGCACGTGTGCACCACGTGTGACGCACGAGGCTGCTCGTCGCCGTCCCACTGCTCGGCAAGAGAGGCGAAGCCGCTCTTGCCAGCCTGCGCCTTCGCTGTCTCGAATGTCAGCAAAGCTGGAGCCCGATCCAAGCGTTGTCCGCGCAGGACGAGGTGCTCGCCCTCCCCGCTCCTCCTTCGCCTCATCCCCGGGCGATCGCAAGCATGGAGCACGGGGGCGTGGATCAGCGACGGGTCCCGCTTCCATGGGAGATCGCGGACTTCCGCCGCCGGGCGCGGCGGCACCAGCCGCATTTTGGGGAGGGCACCTCCCCCGATCCACGGATTTGGCGACCGCGCGCCAAATCCATGGATCGATCGCTGATCCATGTTTGCGCGCCTCCGACCCTCTTCTCTTCTTCTTCGGGAATCCACCGCGAGTTTCCAAGGTCTGGCACGGCGATCGAAACCGAGAACGCACAAGGCGAAGCGATGACACAGGATGGGCCCCTCGAGTCCAGAGACCCTCCTCCTTGTCATCCTCCTCCTTCGCCTCAATTCTCATTCGAAGGTGTGCCAGAGCATGCCGTACGGGGTCAAGGCAGACATCTGGCCCACCGCTCAGAGCACCGACAGTGCGTGAGGGTAGACCTCTCACCGTGCTCGGCGAACGCGAGGACGAGAAGCTGGATGATTCGAATCTGCAGGAAAGGGCAGTCGACCAAGGTCCAGAGAATGTGTCGGTAGGCAAAGAGTTTTGAGCACATGCCTCAGAGGATATGGCTTTCTATTGATCGTCCTCCTCATCATCATCTTTGTTTCCCTGCTCCTCCTCCTCCTTCTCCCGTTGTCTCAGTGGCTTAGCTCTCGCACCAGAGCATCCCATTCGGATGAGAAAACGCCCAAACTGGAGGGACAACTTCCAGAACGCAGGTCGAGCCTCATTTTCTAATGTTTTTGAACCTCTGGGTTCCTCTCCAGAGCACCTGTCCGAGTGGCTGAGCTGGACTGAGAATTTTGTGAGCGAGCCGCTCATCCCAAACGGTTCTCCATGCTCTAGTTCGCAGCGCGACCAAAGAGGTAACAGGGGTCCACGTCGTGCTTGCCAGTAGCTCCAGGGTTGACAATCAGCCACGTGCAAGCTGGAGTGCGAGTCAGAGGGGTGAATGTGGACACTCTTGATGTGGCAGGCCTCGGAGAGAGCTCGAACCACTGCATGCATTGCCGAACGTTTCTCCAGCGTGTTGCTGTGTGCGCAATCCAGCCGTGCGCGTGCGCGTGCGCGTGCGCATGCGTGTGCGTGTGCGTGTGCGTGTGCCTGTTCGTATGCGTCTGTGTGTGGTTGTGTGACTGTGTGCGATTGTGTGTGATTGTGTGCTTTTGTGTGTTTGTGGGTTTGTGTGTGTTTGTGTATATTTCCGACTCTCTGTTAAAGTGTTTCCCGTGTCTTGGAAGGCATGGGGACCACAATGCTTCCGAATGCCGTCTGAAAAGCCATCCACTCTCTTATATGCTCCTTCACCAACCCTTTTCGTATCAGAGCAGTCCCTCCTGTGGCACCACCAGACGTGTCAGTAGAGCGGTCCTGGCATTTCGTTTGAGACCTTCTCACCACTTATATTCCTGAAGCTTGGGTTGTCCAAGAGCTATACGGATGGAGCGGGTCCCTTTCAAATAGGTTGTTGACGCCTCAGCTCCGCGCACAACATTTACAGAGATGGAGGGCGGCTCGTTCTCAAAAACGGGGCTCTGGTTTTATCGCCGCGCACACGAGTGTCAAGTTAGTCCGAGTTCCCCACGTCGGGGTTTCATTGGGTCGCGGGCTCGGGGCAGGACACCCTCAACAGCCGCGGTCTGGCGGGGCCTCCCTGGACGGGGCGGGAGGGGCACGAAGCCTGGCAAATGACACGGCGCTCCCCGGTAGATGGGGCGCCTCTCAGCGGCGAGCGAGGGGGGAAGTGAGAAGGGGCGGGCCTTCTCAGAAGGCTCGTAAGTCCCCTGGCCCTCGGAGGAGTTCCCGGAGCCTTCCCCGCAGGCCCGGCGAGCAGCCGCCTCCTGAGAAGGCCTTCTCCTTCTCGCTTCCCCCCCCCTCGCCCGCCGCCGAGCCTCTCGGCGCCGGGAGGCGCCAGGCCCCGCCCTATCGTCCTCCCACCCTGCCTCCCTCCGCGGCCCCCGCACCCGTCCACCTCTCGGCGGCGACGGTAAGGGCGAATAGCCCAGGGGCGGGCATTACACGTGTTCGCCCGGGAGCCCTGTCGAAGACTTGCAGATCATCGGCGCCCCTGGAGGCATGCATTGCCCTCCCCTGGACCACTCGCCCCAGTCGTCGCCTCTGAACCTCGTGGGGCGAGTGACCGCCGGGGTGCCCGGCGCGCGGGGCAGACAGGTCCGAGGCCGCCGGGAGTGGGAGAGCCGAGCGGGGCGCGCTGCGCGCCGGCGCTCGAGCCTGCCGCAGGGCCTCCTCCCTCTCTTCCTCCCCCCATTCGAGCCTTCGACTTTCGAGCCTCCTCTCTTCTCCTCCTCTACCTCCCCCCTTCCTCCCCTCCTTCGCCCCCCCCTTCCTCCCTCTCCCTCCCCTTCCTTCTCTCCCCCTCTCTCTCCCCCTTCTCCCTCCCCCCTTCCTCCGCTCCTTCTCTTCCTCCCCCCCCTTCCTCCCCCCTTCCTCCCCTCCTTCTCCCCCCTTCGGTCTAGGACATCCGATGTTTTTTCAAGCAGTGGTGAGGCGTTTGGTGGCTTGCACGAGAGGTTCTCAGGACAGGTCTGTCCGAGGCTATCGTGTTTTTTGTTTTACATCGGCTCGACGTTCTAGGAACATGGTTCTTAGAACCTGTCTGGCCGAGACTGTCTAGTTTTCATGCAGCGGCCTTCTGCTATAAGAGCATCGTTGTCGTTCTAAGAGCATTTGGGGGGGTCTCAGAACACGTCGTGGTAGGCCTCTAGGAATGCTGGGACGGTCGGTCCCTGCATTCTTCCTCTCCTTCTCCTCCTCCTCCTCCTCCTCCTCCTCGACAGCCTCGGCAGCCTCTCCCCCTCCTCCTCCTCCCCCTCCTCTCCTCCTCCTCCTCCTCCTCCTCCTCCCTCCTCCACCTCCTCCTCTTGCTCCTCCTCCTCCTCCTGCTCGTGCTCCTCCTCCTCCTCCTCCTCCTCCTCCTCCTCCTCGACAGCCTCGGCAGCCTCCCCCCCTTCGGCCTTCGACCTCCGATGTGTTTTGTTTTTGATTTTTCCCCATGCGGGCCCCCCCCAGGGAGCTCTGGGCCACTTCCTGGGGACCCGTTGGCTGCCCAGACCTCCTCGGGCTGGGGAAAAAAAATCACGACGCGAGGTTTCTCCCTACATTCGGCCCCCAGGGGGCCCTTGCCGGGCCTCGGGACCGTCAAAGAACGGCTCAGGAGGAGAGACCCGTCCCGGGGAAGGGGTCCAGACCTTTGGGGGTCGACGCTGTGAGAAAATCACGACGTCGGGGGTCTGGGTGTCCCGGGCA